GATCCTCCCTGACCCTGGGCCTGGGTGCACCTCCCCTGGGGCCTGAGGAGGGCCCAGTGGGGGGCTGATCCGGTCCTTGCTCAGGAAAATGGAGGCAAAGAAATCATTAAATATGTTAGCTTTGTCATGTGGTGTGAAGACCAGATTTCCTAGCGTGTCTTGCAGGGGCCCCACGTTACCCGGTACCTTCTTTTTGCCCCCTATGTATTTAAAAAATGACTCCTTGTTGTCCTTGATCTGGGAAGCTAGTCCCGGTCCCATCTCCGCCTTGGCCTCCCTGACACCCCCTGCAGCCCCGAGCAACTGCTGCTTTGGTCTAAACAGCCACATAAGATGCACAGCATTAAGCGATGGGGAGTCCATCAGCGGGAATCCAGGGGTTCAAGTGCTGCCTGGCATGGATTTCAGGGCTCCTTTGTTCCCTGCTACGTTATGGCCCAGTGCCTCTTTTCTGCTGGGGAAGTGCACTAAATGCACAAATCAAGAGTGCCCAGTTTGTTTAGGAGGCAACAACTTTATGGTGCAGCTCACTTCGTATTGACTTAGAATAAAGTGGTAAGACCTCTAACTGGATTCTTTGCTCTGAACCTTGGCCTGCTCAGCAGTTCGTGCCTGGCCGGGAGGGCCATGCGCCTGGTGCCCAGCCCAGGGGCGTGGATCAGATGTCCTGGGGTCCATGGAGCCGGCTGCATAGAGTCATGTGGGCTGGGATCAGTCCCACCGGGGTTGGTGGCGGTGTTGGCTTGGGGCAAGTACACCCCCCTGGAAAGTAGAGCTTGGGAGAGTTGGGCTGGGAACCGTTCATGCTGGGATGTTGGATGGCTGCAAATCAGTCACTTTTTCTCCATGGAGCAGACTTACAATACCTTAGCTCAAGCTAGGTAGAATGGCTCAAAGATAACCCTTGCCCAAAGCGGTGTAACTTGAAGACTCCTGCGAGTACTTAGCACAGTGTAACACCATTTAATACGTGAATGCTCCCATTTAAGTGCCTTTAGAATTGTTTAAAGGTAACATGCAATACCACCCTAAGAAAGATAGTACGTGGGTTGATTAGATCAACTCCAGAAAGCACCTAGAGACCCCCACAAACTCCAGCCCATCCTGAGACCCGAAGAAGGATCCCAAATGATGGCCTGAGATACAGATGAGAGCCATCACATTGTTACCCCCTGTAACCGCGGAGATCTTCCCAACCCAGGGAACTGCCTGGTACATTATTAATGGTAATTATTGATTATGATGGGGTTCTGGGGCCCACACCATGGCAGAGACTGTACCAGTGGCCGTGGCATAAGGAAGGTAGGAGGATGTTGCCATGTTCTGTTAGCTCAGTACTGTTGGATCCAGCTTGAGTATCATCTGGGTGGAGACAGCCCCAGTAACCAGCATTTGGGGTATTACATACCAGCTTAAGGGCCAAGTTCTGCCCATAATGGGGGGACCCATGTGGGGTGTGTGGTGGAGGGAAGGGCCATGTGGAGTGGAGCAGAGTGTGCATGTGTTCCCAAAGCCAGCCTGGCAGTGCAGGGCAGGCCAGCCCTGGGCAGACAGGGAAGTCCGCGTTGACCCGCACTTGCCAGCATGCAGCAAGGATGAGCTGGCACCCCGGCTCCCACCCCAGCACTTGCTCCATATTAATATTCATCAGAGTGATTTGCATAGATGTCTACCTGCTGCAGTCCGCAAGGACATTACAGTGATTTCCTGTGACTGCTCCCTGTGCTACTCTGTGCTAACCACACACGTCTGATCAAGCTGCTAGTGTAACAGCTCTAGATCCTTCCTACCCCTTCCCCCAATGAACCCGTGCACAGCTGGCAAAACCCATGCACAGCTGGCAGAAGGGCTCCCAAGGTTCTGTGTAATCCCTGTCTTGGGCCTGCTTCCCAATGTGTTGCTCTCTCCTCGGGGTACTCCAGGGGACAGGAGGGGCAACAGGAGCTCCCTGCCCCCTTGGGTAAGTGGCCAGTGTAGGCTGAGTAGGAAAGGGCCCCTGGAGTTAACCCCTTGAATGCCATGGACTCTGCAACTTGACATACAGCCATTAACTGGATTTGTCTCTCCTGCCCTCTCAAAGGGGAGGCTGTCAAGGCAGGTCGGTTCCCCCTTCAACTACCGCTGGTGCCAGAATCACCCAGGACCATTCAGCATTTCATGGGGGAAGCAGGTGGCTGACTGCAGCTCCACAGGCTCGGAAAACGGGACCCGCATGAAGGGGAGGTGGGGGACTGCAACATGGCTCGATGTTGGTTGGAAGTGTTCATGCTGTTACCGCTACCGGTACCCTGGCCTCTGGGCCCGTGACTCAGGCCACCTGAGCCAACCCGTGCCCTTTCACAGCCAGTCCCTAATTACATCTGTGGTCAAGCCATTTGGCTTTCTGCTGTTTTGACTGCACAACATATTTCCAGTGCTCAAGCACTCCTGGACCCAGAGACGAAAGGGTTTCCAAACTGCCCATTGCACACAAAAAAGTTCACAGTAATTTGTAGCCTGTCTCAAACCCAGTCACATGAGTGAGTGATTGAAGGATGATGGCAGGACTGACTGGGCAACCTGTGTGCTAGCAGGAATGAGCCCTGGGTCATGAGAGCACAGCAGCATTACTCCCATCTACTGCTGCCTTCAAAGCTGCAGGGTTGCGGGAGACCAAGGTGAGGGGTGCAGGCACTGGGGGAATGTGTGGCTCTTGTAACACAAGCTATGCAGCCAAGGCCACAGGAATGACTGACCTGCTGGTAAAGACCTGACAAAGAATATGACACAGCCAGTGAAGATCAGGCTGCTCTTGGGTGGAGCTGTTGGTTTAACTGGGTGCAGGAACAAGAAGTTTGTGTGGGCCGAGACTGGGTGCCATGTTCTCTGAACAGCATTAAACACTGTCCGGGGCCCAGGGCTGTCACTACGTCCTTCACCCTTCCCAGCTGAACCTTGCTGCTAGCTCCAGGGAGGGGATGGTTTGTGCAGGTATCAGCACGACACTGTTAACACTGGGGCTCCATCATGGCTTGTAACACACAGCTCCGATCTCCTGGCTTTTACCTTCACAACCCAGGTGACCTACTCTGACCACCCCTGCCTTGCTCCATTACACATTTTAATCTGAACTACTGCCCTAGGCTGGAACCAGGCCTGGCTCTGTGGCTGATATGCCTTTGCTCTTGGGAAAGCTGCCATAGGCCCTCTACAAACAAGCAGCTAGGGCCTTCACTTTGCATTTTGCTAGGGAAAAACAGCACGTTTGTGAGTAAGGGCCTTGAAACCCCATGGCAGTGCACAGACTGGGGCTGCTCAGAGAGACGACCCCACGACTGATTCAAGTGGCAGCACTCTGGCTCTTTCTTGCAGGCTGCGTCCTTGAGTCAGGGCTACACCAGACACTGCTTTGCTAACACTGAGTGCTCTGCCTGAGCCGGCCTGGCTGCAGAGCAACCAGGCCACTCCAGTATATCAGCAAAATTATTTTTTCTTTGACTCTGTAATGGTTAAACTGCAATGAAAATGCTAGCCTGATGATCTAGGACCAAGTTCTCTGCTAGTAGTATTGGGAGAAGCCCCATGCTGTCTTGCATGCTGCTGTGTCAGCTCATACCAGCAGAGAATGGGGTCTGTCGTTTCAGAGTAATCCCTCTCAGAGCAGGATAGAAACAAGGACAAATGGCTCCCTGCGCTGGCAGCTTGCCAGGACTGAATTAACTGCACAAGATGCTAGGTGGATGGTTAGGGGCAAAAATCTAACTCCCATCAGCTCAACATTAGGACTGTTCTAAGTATTGCACTAACAAGTCACTAATCTTGGAGACAATCCCACCTGAGTGCCAGGTGAGAAATGCTGTTTTCATCCCATTTTATTACAGCAAAGGGCTCCGGGCTGCCTTTGGACACATCACTGTAATTGAAGGCACGTATATTCAATATATATATACACTTTAATGCTTCCCTGAATCTTGGAAGTTCAGGCAATACTGACCCAACGTCAGGTCCTTCTGCAAGACTTCCTCATCAGAAGCCCATTGCCTTGACAGTCAAGGAGCAATTTCAGAGGAAGGCCCAGGTCCCAGGAAAGCCTCTGGCCACACTCCAGGCTACCATAAATGCTTCCACCTCAGGTATAAGCTGGTTCTGACATGAATGCAAATGGCAGCTTTCGTGGTGTTGAGAGGGGTTCGACGTGACTGGGGTTGCCAGCCCAGGGGGGTGGGAGAGAATGAAGGAAGCATTGTCAAGAGGAGGCTATTAGAGAAAGCAGCTTTCTCATGCTGGTGGTTTAAATCGTTGTGCACTTCTCCCAGTACCAACGGCAACCTTCATGCCTGCACTAAGAGGAGCAGGCTCTCAGCTGCAGCAGGATCTGAGTTTGCTTACACCAGACCCCCAATGTAATGGCTATTAAGGGTTTGGCTCCTTAATAGCCATTACATTGACCTTGCACATCTCCAGAGGGCCATGGGAACTGCCTGACTTGGACAGAGGAACACGCATCCCCGCCAGCCTGCCATGGCTGAGTTTTGCAGCTGGCCCCTGCCATCTGCCAATGGGTCCTCTGGTTTTCAGTTTAAGACAGGCAAAGGCATTGGCATTACTATGAAGAAACCTTGCTGGCTATGTCATCTCAGCAAGTGCAGAAGCAGTTTTGAGGGGGAAATGGGAAGTGTTGCTGCCCCAAACTCCTACCATACAACTGCCTCAAGATACTGGTGAGTTATGGAGTCAGGGGCAGCAAGGGAAGAACTCAGACTGAGTAGGGAGCACCTGTTACTCTCCTCCCCAGCTGCCAGCCACCCCACTCCACCCCCTGTAACTAGAAAGCCTTATTCCCAACTTCTTGCATGCATTCCTGCTCCTGAATCTCTGACTCCAGCCCAAATGAGGCAGCCAACAGCAGCTGGCCAGATGCAGCCATCTGGGTGCTGACCTGCCTCCCCACTCAGTCTGGGAACACTGGATTGCAAGGACCTGTCTCCTGGTTCCAGCACATCTCGCTCCCAGGCTCCTACCTTCCCATCAGTGGTGACCGCAGCAAAGGTAGTGGAAGAGAAAGGTGCCCAGGCAACGTCGCCCACAGCAGAGTTCAGGTCATAGATGAACATTGGCGTCCTGAAAAGAAAGACCCAAGGAGAAGAACCTATCTCAATACATGCCACTGCCCCAAACCAATGACTTCCTTCATGCTTGCAGTAAGAGGGGCTGTGACCTCAGCCCCAGGGAAAAACACAGAACAGAGCAGCCTCTGGCATCAGCAGTAGGAGGTGGAAAGTTTCTCTCCTGCCAAGGTCTTTGCATTACCCACTGGGGTGAAGGCAAAGCAGGCTGCTTCTCCCCGCTCCTCTGGAGGTTGCACTAAGGGCTACCCCAGCCGTCCCCCAGGTCACAGCACCATGGCTCATTCCAGAGACACTGGCCGGTGAGAAGAGCTGGAATTGGCCCACTTTCAAAACTTCAGTTTTCTGATTGCACCCAGATACGTGTCATTCACAGGCCTGGGATCTATTGCTCTCAAACGGTCTGTTCCTTCTGCCCCCCTTGTTGCTGGGTATTATAAGTCTTTTGGCCGTGAGCCGCCTATGTGGATTTCAAGTCGCATTTTCCTGTAAACCTGAACTGAAAACAGTGAACGTGCCTGCTTTTATATCACCCAGGGGGCCAAGGTTTGCTTTCATCAGCCTCAGGTTTTGGGGCTCACAGGCTGCAGAAGGGGGGCTATGAGCCCTGCAGGGCAACAGGGAGATCCAGCTAGTGAGAAAGGGAATGGAAAAGAGGAACCACTGGGTTTGAATAAAACCCTTCCAAGTCAGAAACAAACCTGAATCAGAGCCCTAAAACCCTGGCATGACTTTGGGAGATACCTGTCAGGGGCTTACAACACTGGTGCAGCTCTGCAACACCCTGGAAGCAACAGTACGTTGTCCCAGTGGGTCAGGCATGGCCCAGACACAGACCACATATACATACAATGTAGGTGCTCCCCATGTGTCCCTCAGGGGTTAAAGCTGACCACAAGAGACATAACCAACAAGTTTTACACCCTAGAAAATACTCCTCTGCTCCTGGGGTACAGGATGGGAGGTGGGGTGTCTCCAAATACCAGAGTGGTGGGAGAGGGACGATGGTCAGTCTAATGTCCCTGCACTTAGCTCCTGTGTCTGCGTAGCCTGGGGCTGTCCCTGTCAGGGCAAAGATTCAGGGGGAGGGGGATTCTGGTGCCCCTTTGAAGTCAGTGCCTGGGGCTGATGCTTCCAATTACTCTCATCTCTCCCTGCAGTGGGCTCTGTGACTGACTCTCTGCCTTCCCAGTTGTGCCCCCACGGGGTTGGCCGACAGTATGATTGCTCCAGTGGAAGGCAGAAGTTGGGTGGGGGTACTCCTAATGGGGAGGGATGGCTGATGTCAGGTAGCCAGGCCCAGCACCATGTGGGTTGTTGGCCTCCTGCCCACATACTTGTACTGCAGAGCTCTGTTTTGACCTGGATAGCTCAGCTGCAGGCCAGAGGAGAGAGGCACGCTATAGCTTTCTGGCACTAGACTCACACGTGCAGCAGTCCAGGAGCCTCTGCTGTTACTGCTGGAAGAACTGCTGCTCTCAGTAAAAACCCAGAGAATGAGAGAGTCATTAGCAACGCGCCCAGCCTACAGTGATGTAAAGAACCCCAGATGTAAGCAGACCAGGCAGGCTGCACACCGTGTGCATTATTGCTTTTGCTGCAAGCTGGACTCTTGACCCACAGCCATGAATGCTCAGCGCCCAGGTCAGGACGCAGCGAGACTTACTTGATGGTGTGGTCCCAGATCTTGACAGTCCAGTCAGAGCTGCAGGAGATGAAGACTTTCATGTGGAAAGGGTTCCAGCTCACGGCATCCACAGCCATGTGATGGGCATCAAATACGTCCAGGAACTGGCTTGAATAGGCCTTGGAACACTGCAAAGGAACCAGGAGCTGGGGTCAGGGACAGACGTGCCTCGGGAGCATGGCAGGACAGTGTCTTGGCTCTGAGGGGCGCCTTTGGTTCTGGTACCTGCTGGGGACGGGGTGCATGGGGTCATGACTGTTTCTGCCAGGCATGTGGACACCCTGCCATTACCGTGCTAGGCAGCAGGGCCCCCCCCCCACACCGTCTGCTGCATCAGGGCTGCCTCCTGCGCTAGGCACAGTGCAGCTGTGTTCACACTGCGCTGCAGGAAGGGCTCAGCGGCATGGCTGAGTGTCAGCTTGCGTGAGGCAGTGCAGCCCCTGTGAGGATGCTGCAGCCTGGCGCAGGGCATTTGCAGCACAGATCTCCCTCAGGCTTTTGGTTAGTGCATGTGATGCTTCTCCCCTGCATGGCTTAGCCCTGTGCCTGGCAGAGAAATGAGCCTGGATGGGAGAGAGCCTCAATTCATTCCCTTCTGCCCACGCTTGCCATTTCTGCTGTTGGATACACTGCAGCTGTGTGCCCTGCCCAGGGCTTCCTGCCCTCTAGGAAAGCCAATTGCTAAAAAGCAAGGGTGGGGGGCAGTGAGGGGCACGCACTGCTAGCAACACCTAGGGAAAGCCTGCATCTGTTGAGATCAATGTTAGATGGGGGCTTGCAAGGGAGAGCACAGACACAGTCCAGTGCTTCTAGGTGCCACGAACAGTGAAACTGCAATGCATGTGAGTGCAGCTGAGTGTCTTGGGAGCAGGCCTGGGGAACGGCTCCAGCTGGGCATAGACCATGTGGTCTGTCCTCTGGTTCTCAGTCACGTGGGTCTGGCAATCCTGCCCTCTAACCGGCACTCGGCCCCCCTTAGTGTGATGCTGCTGGCAGCAACAGTGCTGTGGCCCCATGGCTCTGTTCTGCAGTCAGAGCTGCTCAGCATGGTACCATCCTAGGTAGTACTGGAAAGCCCTTGCTGCTCTGTCCAACTGCCCATGTGTGAGGGGTGTCAGCCCAGTGTGTGTCGCTGCCAGGAAACAAGGGATTTGCCAGCTACTAAACCAGAGGGCCCAGCCCGGGGCTCACAGTTCGACCACCTGGGTTGTTCCCCTGCCCTGCTGTGCAGTTACACGTGGTCCTGGGGAAATGCTTATTGGGTCACCTGGGCTTAAATGTTCCTGTTAGGCTAGCAGATGCTGCGAGTGCCCAGCACTGCTACGGCCTTGTTACCTACGCACAGAGCGAGTGCTGAAGCTGAAGACCAAGCGTGGAGATGTTGGCTCTGTGCTGTGGCCTTTCTGCTTCTGTTGGTCCCTAATTCCACCAGGACAATCACACTGCTCCCACCTCACCAGAGACTGCAGGGGTCCCCAGGTCACTGCATCCAGGGGCTGCTCAATCGCCAAGTGAGGTCTATGTCAGGGGTGCTCAACCCCGGTGCCAGTCAACAGGGTGCCCACAGCCATAGTCCTGCGCGCTAGATTCAGCACTCAGGGTGATGCGAGGCACAATCCCAGCGCATAGGACTGAATGGAGACAGCGTGGGGCCCCGAGCTTGTGTAGAGTCTGGGGGATGCAGCACGGGGCCCTGGAACCTGATCCTTGCACACAAGGCTGCCTAGACGTGGTTCAGGCCTCCAAGGCCCCCATCCTGGTGCCCAGAGCCCGACACAGGATCCAGGACCCCATCCCAGCATGCAGGGCCAGGTCGGGGTGGCACTGGGTCCTGAGCCCCCAATCCCAGCAGGCAGGGTGGTACAGGGTCCCAATCCTGGCACGTGAGGCTAGGCGGGGGCAGCTCAATCTGGATCAAGATGTGTGGGCCTGAATCCTGGGCTGCAGGGTCTGATGTACCCCACGGACCGGCCCTGCACCATTCATCTGGCTGGCAGGGCCAAAGGCTGAGCACCACTGGTCCAGGCAGGCTCCTCACTCACAGACTAGGTCCCAGGGGGCACAAAGCAATGCATGGGCCAGCAGAGCTTCCAGTGGGTCAGCGCATGCGTGGATGGCTCCAAGGTGCCCAGCAGCGGGGCCAACTTGTCCCAGGCAAGGGTGGCTTTAGCCTGCACTTAAGTGCTGCTGTGAGTGCCAGGAGGTAGACTGCCCAGGGCATGACTCTTAACCCCAGAAGACTTTAAAATGCTTCATGACTGGTTGCTCTCTAAACCTGGTCTCTGTTTAGCTAGTCTGTAGAGAATGAAAGTGGGAGAGGCGCTGGGGTTCCCGAGAGCAGGGGAGCTCAGTGCCCAAGATGAATGGTTGTTCCTTAAGGAGACAATACTCAGGGCCCAAGGGGTGACCATCCCAACAAGAAGCAAGGGGTGCAGGAGTGCCCAAAAGCCCCCTGGCTCACCAAGGGCGTCCAGCAATGCATGATTGCCAAAAAGGTGGTGTACACCCAGTGGAAGGGGGGTGCTATCTCCAAAGAGGAGTATACCTCCTCTGCTCAGGCCTGGAGGGGGGCTGTCAGGAAAGCTAAGGTGGACACAGAGCTAGGACTAGCATCCAAGATCAAAGATAATAAAAAGGTCTTTTTCAAATATATAGGGAGGATGAAGAAAGCACTGGGAAATGTGGGGCCCCTGCAAGATACTCTGGGCAATCTGGTGGTTGCGCCAGAGGAGAAAGCAGACCTCTTTAATCAACTCTTCACCTCCGTTGTCTTGGGCAGGGACTGGGACTTCCCCATCATGCTGCAAGAAGGACTCGAGGGGAACGCCTCCAGACCTCAGGCTGGGGAGGACCGGGTTAGAGAGCTTCTGGAGGGGCTGGACGTGTTCAACTCAGCGGGTCCAGATGCTTTCCACCCCAGGGTGTTGAGGGAGCTAGCAGGGGTTATTGCAGGGCCCTTGGCACGGCTTTACGAGCACTTGTGCTGCTCGGGCCAGATGCCAGATGATTGGAAGATAGCCAACGTGGTCCCC